CCCAGGATCTCATAGTAGTACATTAAAGTAATACTGAACTGAATGTTCTCTTGTCAACTTGCTTTGCCACTTGCTATACAGCATTACAAAAACAATGGCACCATCTGTGCACTGTTAATGAACCCTCTTGCTATACAGGAAATGTGCTTATGTTTCTATCTTTAGCAGCTTTTTTTAGTATCATTTTAGTGACAATTTAAGAACATACTCTCAGATGATTTGGATTTAGGCTTTTTTTTCTAATCACATCCCTGCACTCTTAAAAATCGCAATATTTGTAATGGCTTTTGTTGGGCGTGAATTACTTCTTTGCTGCACCAAGCAAAGTGTGGCTGTGTCACTGTGTCCAGTTCACACATTTAGCTGAAATCCTTCATGTCATTAAAGTAAATGGCAGGCCAAGAGGGGAAAGTAATCGAGGATAGAGGATCAGGATTTCACAGGGTTTACAACAAAAAATTGATGTTGTAGAAAGTTTGCCAGAAAAGCTCACGCCTGGGACCATGTTTGTGACCAAGTGGGATGACCATGTGCAGTGGAGTTTAGTGATGAGTCATTTTTTTCAGTAACCTCTGATCTGAAGCATGTTATGGACTTTACAGAGAATGAGTCTCCAAAGATCTAAGGGAAAATTCTGCGTAGAAACAACACAATTAAACAAAAAACTAAAGAACACCTAACAGCTTGTTGAGAACACAAACAGGCCGAAAACATTTCTGACCAAAATCAGTTAATTTCAGTGGTGCAGAGGTTAGCATTGTCGCTCACAGCAAGAGGGTTCATGATTCGAACCCAGGGTGGGGGAGCCCCTCTGTGTGGAGTTTGCATGTTCTCCCAGTGTCAGTGTGGGTTTTCTTTGAGTACTCCAGCTTCCTCCCACAGTCCAAAGACATGCAGGTTAATCTGTGACTCTAAATTGTCCGTAGGTGTGAATGTGAATGTGAGTGTGAGTGGTTGTCTGTCTCCATGTGTCAGCCCTGTGATAGTCTGGCGACCTGTCCAGGGTGTACCCCACCTCTCGCCCAATGTCAGCTGGGAGAGGCTCCAGCACCCCCGCGACCCCCAACAGGATTAACACTTATGGAAAATGTATGAATGAACATCCTCATGTTGCTATAACATCCTCAAGTTGCTATAAGCATTCCTGCAGTCGATTTTGAATGAGAGCATGCACGGGGGAACGGGGCTTCGTAGCATGTGTATGAGCGGCGAGCCCGCTCTATTTCAGTTCACCAGTGCACTGTTTAACAAGTTACTGTGAGGGCCGGGAAAGTAGTTTAAATGGAGCGTAACCTGTTATCAAGCAGCAGCATCCACGTAATTGTCAGCTGACAAAACAACGTCGGCTGACAGGTGACAAATAATTGACAGTATTGTACACAATATGATTTTATTTGAGTCTGAATGACATTGATCAGTACTCTGTCTTATCAGTCTCCCATGAATCATTTGTGTTTGTATGAGCCATGTGTTCCTGTTCAATTTTAGCAGCAAATCTGGTTTGCCGGCTACCTTACCCATCAAATGGTGTGCAGACTCCACCTACTTGCCTCATGTGGTTATGGTGCGGACCCAGTGATTGACATTATGTCAGAGACTCCTCTGGCTCTGATTGGTTGTATTTGTCCGTGGTGAATTATTGCAAATGTCATTAGAAGCACCAAGAGGAGCCGGAGAAACATGTTTCCTTCACATATTATCTGTCAGGATATAGTGACAATTTCAGAAAATATGACAAAATTTTTTTTTTTTTTTTATAAAAGTTACCTTCTATAGCTTTAATCTAGCGCATATAGTCAGTTCATCATGAAGCTTTCAGTAGGACTTGCTTATTATTTGAGGACACATGACAGATTTTCATGTAACCATGCACATGATACAAGATAAGATAAAACTTTATTCATCCAGAAGGAATATGACATCGGAAGAATGCAAATATACATAGTGTAAATAGATCCATGATGAGGGCGATGATCCAAGAAACACATTTTTAAGAAGGAGAGACCAGGATGACTTTACATGCAAAACATCCCCAGACAAACCAACAGCATAAAAGATAATGAGATAAGAAGACAAACACTGAGACGGAAACGCAGAGGTGATATATCAACTTTTTCAAGTAGGCTATAAAGGGAGGTGTGAAGCATTTAGTGCCCAGTAAACTTCACCCTGTCTGAAAAACACATTCACTTCACATTTTGACTTCCAGCAAGATAAGTACTTCCCATCTGTCTCCCCCATATTCTTCATCTGCAGCCATTATTGAGTTCTTGAGGTGTCCTTTGATCCCTCTCATCCAGCCACTCCACCTAATTATTCTTCGCTCTTGGAACTTTATAGAGGAGCATCACAACCACCTGCACTCACCTTTTTAAAATGAGAGCTTCCAGTGGATAATTCAAACTTGCTGGGTCCGGTCCCTGCAAAGCACTACCGTTTTAAAAGTACAACTAGTTTTTCACTTTCAGCAGTGGTGTTCTTTCAATGGCAAGTGCCAAGACTGTATGGAACTGAGATTATGAGTCTACTGCGTACAGGTGTGGTTATTTTTACCACAAGCTGCACTTTAACAACGTCCTAGAAATATTCTTGGATGTGACAACATGGCTTTTGATGTTGAATCTAGTAAAGGTAGAAAAGTATGACGCAGCCTTTCTGAAGATTGGATTAAATGTGTAGTTGTCCTATCTTTTTCAGTCATGCAGTCTGTAGAGTACAAATATTATCACCTGCAGCATTGTAAAAGTAAAAGTACTCTAAGTGTATAGTATGCATGCATAGTATGCATGCATAGTATGCTGTTCACTTTGATGCTTTAAACAGAAAACATTGAAAGTGGAGAGGGGGGTTCTCTGAACATATTTTCAAAACAGCTTTCAACTCAGCATCCCAGTCAGGCTATGCTATTTGTGCATGTGTGTGTATGTGTGTGTGTGTGTATAGTGACAGTGAGTGAGGATAATCACAGTGTCTAGAGAGAAAGCGACGTGTCTGTGTAAACATGAGAATTTCCACTGTTGTTTTTTTCAGTCTGCAGTCATTCAAGTTTAACAGGTGGTCTGATCCTGCTCCTTCATCCTCACGTTGATGCTTCTCTTCTGAATCACACGGGCAGCGGGCAGCGAGCTGCTTGATGCCGGGAGGCAGATTACTTGAACCTCTCAAAGACATGATTTCAAACTATTCCCCATCACAGTCATTGTTGAGTTGGGTTTTGATAGCTAATTCCATTTTAGATTTGAGTGCAATTTGGTGAAATACCCAGACTTGCAGCTTCCTTATTTAAAACTGTCAGTAAGTCAAACAGATACTTTGCCAATTTTTCAACCAGCTTTGTATCACAACAGTGTGGGTAGTATGTGTAAATGAACTGTGGAAAACTTCCTCCATCTCACAAGTGCCCAGATCTCCCTGCTCATCTCTAAGCTTAAATCTGGAAGATTTTTTGCTGGCTCTCGGGCTCGGGTTTCTCAAATTACAGATTGTACTTCCTCGTTATCATATGCCCGCCACCACGGACACACAGAGAAGAAGCGATCGAGAGAGAGATGCCTTCCTTTCTCTGTTTCTCCAACTCAGACCAAACTCTGATCAAACTGTAAATCTAGGCAATGCTGATAAACTACAAGAGTTTGTGAAAAGGAAATAGGTGCATTTACTGTATTGTGAGAAGGGTGTATGAAAAAACTGAGATCAGAGCTTTAAAAATAAGCAGTGCTGATCAAATATAATGTTATGTCACCTACCAGCGGGAGCATTTATTGGTCCGGTGCTGGGCAGTGTTGTCTGGTGGTTGTAGGTTTTCTACCTCTTGAGCAAGCTGTTTTCTCTGGTCATGTAGCACCAATTTAAAAGTATTTGTGTCTTTCTACTGCATAGACAGCCCAGTTGTATAAAAGAAACATCTTTCCAGCAGTTAAATGCAATCTATAATGCTACTGTCTTTAGTCAGAAGATTTAATACTGGATTTGGAATATGACCAGATGTAGCAGTACCACTAGTACAGACAAACTTAAATCATATTTTACTGGTTGGAGTTTGTGCTTTCCAATACAGTTTAGGTTTGCTCTATAAAGGTAACTCACCATTGATTTTATTGTAGGTTTAATTTTAGGGTTTGAAATGAAAACATTATTTTACCATTGACGTTAATAGCTTTGCTCATCCTCCTAGTACTCATATCACTCATTACAATGTTGGCGCTGGAGGAACTTTGTAACTGCTGGCGATAATTGTCATGGTTTAATATCGATTGAGATCCTCCTCCTATGACACAAAATCATTAGGGTAAAATAATCGGTGTCGACCAAAGAAAATAAAATAAAACATCACTAAAATAGTTAAAATGATTAAGAGCTGTTCTGCAATGAGCCATGCATAAAGTTTTTCTTTTTTAGAAATTGAGAAATGTTTTTACAGGCTGAAGAGTACAGACGCAATGTGAAGAAAGTTGTTTCTAATAAGGCTGGGTGATATGGCTGAAGTTATTCCCACGATGCCAAGAACATTTTTCCAAATGTGAATCTCTGAACACATTTAATGTCCACACACACCAGACTATCCGGCACATCACTGCTTATTCTGACAGATTTTACTTCAAATTAGTTGTTTGCCTTTCTCTTTTTACGACTCTACAGTGAGTCTTCTCTAGTTTGACTGTGTTACCACAAGTAGATAATTGTCTGGATGTTTGTGGTGCACAAGGGAAATCTTCCATTTGACAAAAGATGGGAGTACATACGCATGGACAGTCTCACACAAACACCTAGATATGTGTTACCGACGCCTGTGAGAAGGGAGGGGGTGTTGATGTGCTCCTGGCTTTGGTTTAAGATTTAGTGTTTGTTACATTATCACCTGCTTGTCCAAGCTGAAACTCTCAGGACTCTGTATCTCTGGAGACACAACACAGCGTCCCTGTTCCCTGTGGTTACATATTGTGTGTCTCACAGTGATCCTTTGCTCATATTGCACCTCTCCTCTGTCCTCTGCTGTCCAGGGAGCAGCCGATCTACACCACCAGGGCCCACGTCTTCCAAATCGACCCAACCACCAAGAAGAACTGGGTCCCTGCCAGCAAGCAGGCCGTCACCGTCTCTTATTTTTACGACAGCACACGCAACAGCTACCGCATCATCAGCGTGGATGGATCCAAGGTATGTGTGTGTGTGCATACTATGTGTCTGTGTGTGAGTATGATGGGAAACATTTAACTGCACTCAGGAGAGATAGTTGAGGCCGAAGAGGAGCACTCAAAGCCAGAATTTAACAAAAGGAAATGTGAAGCATGTTAATGTTAAATCTGCAGCTCCCATTGATGAACATTAACCCAACACTGGACCATTTAATATTCCTGTGCTCTGCTGCTTCTGGTGTGAGGACAGTCATCTATGGCTGCCTGTTTTACCCTTCAAACATCCGACTCATTAAAACACTGGGGGAAAAAAAACACTGAAATCAATATCATGATAGGATATTTTCCATCAATACATGTGCATGGCAAATATATGAAAAATCACAAATAAATGAACCGTGTTCCACCATCATGCTTTACACCAGACCAAACTCTTTATATGTGCTAAACAACAGCTCAACAGCTAATCTTAATTACATGCTCTGAGTCATGAAAAGCAACTAATTATTGTTTTCACTGTTGATTAATGTGGTGATCATTTTTTCAGTGTATCAAATAATTGTTTTGACTATAAAAATGCCCATCACAGTTACTCAGAATACAAGGTTATGTCTACAAATCACTTGTGTTTTCATGACCAAAATCAAAATATAGTCAATTGACAAACAGATAAAAAGCAGAGAAGCAGCAATATTTTTATAGTTGAGGAGCTAAAAAATATTAAAGTGTAGGCTCGATTTGAAGAAGAAAGAAGAAGAGGAGAAGGAGGAATATATACTTTATTAATCCCCGAGGGGAAATTATTTTTTTCCACTCTGTTGTCATATACACACAGGCCTGAAATACACACACATGCACAAACAGGACCTATATATGCATTAAATGGAGAGATTGCCCAGGAGGCAAACTGGCACCTCTCCAGCTACCAGTCCACGCTCCATATTTGGTCTGGGCAGGGACTTGAACCAGTGACCCTCCGGTTCCTAATCCAGATCCCCATGGACTGAGATGGTTTATTCACTTACTGATTATTCGACTTATCTCTTAGCTCCAATTTGGACATAAATTTGTTGGTCAATAATTATATGGAATTATCACCATGGCATGATGTAAGCCTCTAAATGATTTATCACTCAGCCCAAATTGTGATGTTTATCAAATGAGATAATTGTTGTTTCACAGCTGGAAAATTAGAGTCAGAAAAGCACAGCCTGGGAAGAAAAAAAAAGAAAAAGAGAGACATCTCGTAGTAAAAAAAAAAAAAAAGAGATCTTAGAAAATGCTCTTGTCATTCCCAGGGCGTCAAATACTGCCACTTTGCCCTGCCCCTCGGCATGTGATATCAATGCTGGTCAACTGGTTGAGAGTATATACACCATACATAATATCACATTTCTCATGTCATTTGTACACGACTAAACATAATTATGTCTAGGCCCACATAGCATCACTTTAAATGTGATTCAGCCTGCTGCCTAGCTAAATTGGTCTCTATTAAGATCGCTATGAGTTTATTTAAGGTTTACAAATATATGTTAATGGTTCAGTATTAACTCATATCGCAGCGGTGCCTGGACAGCGTGACGTGTGTGGTTGTGCTGCTGCCGTGGTCCTGCCAGATGCCTCCTGCTGCTGCTGCCATCATTAGTCATTAGTCATACTTCTATTGTTATTATACACATATGACTATTGTCACACATGTATACTGCCAGATATTAATACATACTTTCAACATATTGTACCACAGTAGCCAGAACTATAACTATAATATTATTACTTTCA